TTTTGTGTTCTACTTTGTGTGTCTGTGCTTCCATCTTACTGTTAACTGTATTTGTTTGACTTAAACTATGTAGCTCTATGGACTCTTACATTTCCTCCACCATACAGTTTAAGATTTGGGCCACCACTGACCTGTGCCTCTGAAGTCTTTCTTCTCTTTACCAGTGTGATCATACAGTTGGCTTTCCCTCCTAGCTGCAGAAGTGATTAGTGTGTATTTCCTAGAGTATGTAGCCTTTTCTGCAAGGCTTCTTTCACTCAGTTTGTTTTTGAGTTTCGGAGGTAAGTTTTTGCTTTTTTTTTTTTTTCCTAGAATGAGTGTTGAAAGCATTTTCCCACTCCATGATTAGGAACAAACTATTCATCTTTTTTTTTTTTTTTAAGATTTATTTTCTTTTAAAATTATGTGTATGCATGTTTGTGTGTCAATATGTGCAGGTGACTGTAGATGCCAGAGGAGGCCAGAAGAGTATTGAATCTTTTGGAGCTGTAGTTACATGCAGTTGTGAGCTACCTGATGTGAGTGCTGGGAACTGAACTCTGGTCCTTTGCAAGAGCAGTGTACATTCTTTTCCACTGGGCCATCCCTCCAGCTCCTGTTCATTAGTTTTACACAAACTTATAAGTATCTGGTTCTGTTTACTTTTTAAAATCATGCATTAATTGTAGTTTTGGTAGTTTTTAGTTTCTAGTTTTTCATAGATGCCATGTGTCTGAAGACATTTACTATTTATTGTTGCACGCTTTCCTCAGATACTTTTGAGAATTGCTATTGATCTTCAGTGGCTGTAGATTTTGTTTATTGTCTCCTGGGATGGAGTGTAGTGGGGAGATGGGATGTATGTATGGCAGGTGTGGAGGCTGTCCTTCTTTGGGTGGCAGCACCTAATTGGATGCCACCCTGACTCTGTGTCTCTGGTCCATGTACTCAGGGAAGAGATTGTTTGCCTTTGTGATGATGAGAAGTACTCTTGGTAGAGAGGAATTGGTGGTAGCCTGTTGAGTCTCTCCAAATCTATTTCCTGACCATATCAACATGGCTGCTGAAACTTGCTCCTGTGTCATCCTGGCAGCCATTCCACCTCATGCTCGAGTAGAGTGCCCCTGTGTGCTTTCTCACCTTCACAGCTGCTTCCAGCTTTATTAGTGTTCCTTTGGATGCTTCAGAATAGACACTGACTAGGTGTGTGTGTGTGTGTGTGTGTGTGTGTGTGTTTTCCAGAATTATTTTAGGGAAGAATGTTAGTAAACTTAAGCTTTTATTAGTCATTTCTGGATTTAGGTTTGGGAAGACACATATATGTCTATCTTTATGTTCCTGAAGCTACTGACTAGTTATTTGTTAATTTAATTAAAATTTTTATATGTATGGTGGTTTTGCCTACGTGTATGTCTGTGCACCAGGCATGTGCCTAGAGCCTATGGAGGCCAGAAGAGAGGATACCAGATCCCTGGGGCTGTAGTTAAATAAAGTTGTGAGTTGAGCCACCAAGTGGGTGTTCTCTCTGCCCCCTATTTATTTAATTTTAAAGTGTTTTTGGGCAGCAGATAGCTTGGATTTAAAGTCCTTTGAAGCCTTTTATTTTTAAGTTGCCAGTGTTTCCCTTTTTTGTCTACCCAGAGAATAAACCTAGGGCCTGCGATAAGTGGGTAAGTACTCTATCTCTAACCTGTACAACTAGCCCAGGGTAGTGCGGAGAGGAATTGACCCTGGAGAGTCTTGGGTAGGGCTGGGCTGGCCTTGCTCTTGTGCGAGTACTAGAGCTCTGGAAAGTCTCAGCACTCCCTCCTTTGTGCAGGAGGCAGGGTGAAGATTTTCATTCACAGTCTTTGTTTTTCAGGTTTGAAACTTAATTTGTTAGCTTTTAAGTACTTTATAGTATAGTTTGGGCATACAGAAAAGTTAGTTTGTCCTAATACTTTGATATTTTTGATTCACATTTCTTCTCCCCAAAACCTTTTAGTTTAGAATTTTATTCCTTAGAAACCATAGCCTATGGAATAAGTTGCTAGTCAAGTAAATATAAAATTTTATTTTTAGAAAAAGGTATTTTGACATTTTTTTTTCTTTTCCATTTAGTTTTTCCATGGTTTGGCTTGGATATTGGTGGAACCCTAGTCAAGCTGGTTTATTTTGAACCTAAAGACATCACTGCTGAGGAAGAAAAGGAGGAAGTGGAGAGTCTGAAAAGCATTCGCAAGTACCTGACCTCCAATGTGGCTTATGGATCCACAGGAATTCGGGACGTGCACCTTGAGCTGAAGGACCTGACTCTGTGTGGACGCAAAGGCAATCTGCACTTTATACGCTTTCCCACTCATGACATGCCTGCTTTTATTCAAATGGGCAAAGATAAAAACTTCTCGAGTCTCCACACTGTCTTTTGTGCCACTGGAGGTGGATCATACAAATTTGAGCAGGATTTTCTCACAGTATGCATTTTTTAGCTTATATACAATTTATGGTAATTTTATTGTTTAAAATGATGCCAATTACAAGTGGTAGAATCATTTTCATTTTTAATGGAGCTTAAATATTCTTGAGGGAAATGAACATTATATATAAACTAGTGACAGTCAGGTGTTAGCTATCTGGCAATTGTTGGGTAGTGTGCTTCTTATCTGGTTGAAATATGTTGATGTGTATCAGCATAGCATTTTACCATTTCTTTAGTATGAAAACTTTGAGTATGGGATAAGCACAGTAAGTGTCTATGAGGAGTACCATTATTACATCTCATTAAGGAGTTAAAAATAAAAATTAAAAATTTAGTCCTGGGCTAGGGAGATGAATCATTCAGTAAAGTGTTTGGAGGACCTTAGTTCGTTCGTTCGTTCGTTAGAACCCACATAAAAAGGCTGTGTGTGGGCTGGAGAAGTAGCTTCGCAAGGACCTGAGTTCTATTCCCAGCACCTGTGTCAAAACAGCCCATAACTGCCACCACTTCCAGTGCCAGGGTGTATGATCCCACTTGTGGTCTTCTTGGAAATGCACATACACACACAGACGTAAAAATTAAGTTGGCTGTGGTGGTCCATGCCTTTAATCTCAGCAGTATGTAGACGAATTGCTAAATGGTCTTATTAATAAAAAACTCGGAGCCAGATATTGGGGTTAAAACCGAGAGATTAGAAAAGCAGAAAGAAGCCAGCCATATTCTCACCACTTGGAGATCCTCAGCCAAAGAGACCTACTTCCTGTATACCCATGCCTATATTCCTTTCTGTTCTGCCATCTCATTTCCTCTCTCTGCCCAGCTACATCACTTTGTCTTCCTGCCCAGCTCTGTCACTTCCTGTCTGTCTGTACAGATCTCCAGACCTTTATGGTTAGTGCTGGGATTAAAGATATGTCTGTACCACCACACCTGGCTCTGTTCCCAGTGTGGCCTTGAACTCACAGAGACCCAGACAGATCTCTGTTTCCCGAGTGATAGGATTAAAGGTATGTGCTACCATTGTCTGACCTCTATGTTTACTATAGTGGCTGGCTTTTTCCTCTGATACTCAGATAAACTTTATTAGGGTGCATAATACATTGGGGACATAATACATCACCATAGCAGTCCTCAGGAGTCTGAGGCAGGCGGATCTCTTGTGAGTTTGGGGTTAGCCTGGTCTATATGTCAAGTTCCAGATCAGTCAGGGATATATAGACCCCATCTCAGAAGCAAACTACCTGGATATTTTCCCAACTCTAGGGAGGCAGAGACAAATGGATCCCTGGGGCTCATTGGGCAGCTTCCATGGAAAACTCCAGGCCAGTGAAGAATCAGGAAAAAAGTAGATGTCACCTGAGGAATAACATCTCAGGTTGTCCTCTGATCTCCACATGTGTACGCACACTATCTGGCCACAAAAATGCTTCTAATCTTGTATACCACATAGTTTCTCTTCTGCCACCTCAGTTATTTTCCAGCATGTCTGGTTAAAAGTGTACTTTTGGCCGGGCAGTGGTGGCGCACGCCTTTAATCCCAG